TCAGGATTACTATTTGGTCATCTGGGTTCAAGGAAAGAAACATAAAACACAAGAGGCAGCCAGGGATTTGAGGTGCAGGGTTGTCTAGGCAAGTGTATGTTCTTGCTGCAGTTGCCTTCACAGCTGGAGGAAGAAGGAAAGAGGAAGGAAAGAGGGAGAGAAATCCCCTCCCCCTTCAATGAAAGTCCAAGGAAGAATATTGCCGGCCGTGTTCCAATAAAGAGGCTATCTCAAGCTCTCTTTCCTTACTCCTTACGACCCTCAGATGGGGAAGGGGCTCTTCCTGGCCCAGATGCCAATCCTCTTTAACATAACCCCGCCTCCAGTCATGGGGACACAGGATATGAGGAGCCACTGGTTATGTGTCATTTGTCCAAGCTCGCAAGAACATGTGTTCCTCCCCACAGAGCCAAAGCACATTTGGGTGATGTACCAGTCTAGCAGCTCAGGGGGTTCCCCTGATAATTCCTGTTGTACAGAGTTATATGAAATCCCCAGTTCATGCTCTCCTGAAAGCCATATTCTAAATATATTGGAAGACCCAGATGGAGGGGAAAAAAAGAAACCAAAAATTGCTGTTCTTTTGCTAATTTTATCTAGTTTGTGATAATTTATGTAATATTGAAGAAAGCAAAGCAAGTGTCATCCAAGTTCCACTATCAACTACCATATACCTACTGACAATATCTATCAACATAACAACAAATAAAATTACAATGCAACAAAATGAGGAAGCTGAGTGACCACGAAATGATAACACTCAATGATGTAATTCAAATATAAATTTCTTCAGAACAGGGACTGTTTTGTTTGGGTTTTTTATCTTTATATCCCTAGTACTTAGCACAGTCTGTGACATATCCTGTGCTCTTAATAAATTCTTGTTGACTTGAATTGAAAGCTACTGATATCTGACCATGACTTCCTATCATTCTCTGTCTCTATGTTCAAGATGTAAGAGGCAGAGGCAATTAGTCATGCAACATGAGCTCTGGAGAGAGGTACATATATGGGGATCAACTGCATGGAGATGACAATAAGGAAAGCAAAAGAAGCAAGCATTTATATAGTGTCAGCACTGTGCTGAGTTCTTTACCAATATTATCTCATTTGATTCTCATAATATTCTTGCTATTATTATCCCTATCTTACAGTGGAAGAAATTGAGGCAAAAAGAGGTTAAGCCCAGGATCACACAACTAGTAAGTGTCTGAAGTCAGATTTGAATCTACTATGCCATCAGCTGACAATAAACTCAAGGCGCAGAATAAGACATATTTTTTGGACAAGGCCAAAGTGAGAATTCTTTTGCTTCACTAATAAATATTATTCACGAGGGCTCAGTTTTTATTTCTTTTTTCTTTTCTTTTTTCCCAAAGGAAAAGGGTGTAGAAAGAGAAAGACAGTGATAGGATAGGGGAAAAAAGAAGAAAAGGAAAAGAAAGAAAAGAGGGTCATGAAAGCACCTTTTTTTTAAATGCACAGAAGAGAATAGAAGGAAGGTCAGAAAGAATCCTTCTTCCCTTTCTCAGCCAAATTCTAAGGAAAAACTATTTATCCACTTATTTCATTCACTCCTCAAATACTTTGCAGTGTGGCTTCTTACATCATCCCTAACTGAAACTATTCTCTCCAAAGTTACCAGCAACCTCTTATTTGCCAATCTGCTCTTTTCTTAGTCCTCATCTGTCTTGACCTCTCTGCTGCATTTAACACTATTGACCATTCTATGTTCCTGGATACCCTCTCTAGGTTCATAAAATAATACTCTCTCCTGCTTCTCTGCCCATCTCTCTAACTATTTCTTCTTAGTCTCCTTTGCTGACTCCTAACTGTGGGATTATGCTCTGTCCTTAGCCCTTTTTTCTCTCCAAAATCTCTCACTTGGTGACCTTATCAGTTCCCAAGGGCCTAATTGTTATCTCTATAAAGGTGAATGGAAAATCTGTATTACCCCAGGGCCAATTACCCAGGATTGTAGAGCTTCAGTACTGTAACGCCGATTCCCTATCATATGTTTCAAACTGGATATCCCAGAGACATTTCAAACTCACTATGTCCAAAACAGAACTCACTATACTACATCGCCCCACCCTACCTCCCAACCTTCCCCTCTACTGAATTTCCCTATTTCTGTCAAGGACACCACCATTCTTTCAGTCTCCCAGTCTTATAACTTCATCATTATCCTTGATTTGTCACTTTCCTGCACACCACATATCCAACCAATTGCTAAATCTTAACATTTCTATCTATACAACATCTCTGTACTCACACAACCACCATGCTAGTTAAGTCTCTTATCACTATTGCATAGATTCTTGTAAAGGTCTCCTAATTGGTCTCCTTGCTTGAGTCTTTCTCCACTCCAATACATCCTTCACATACCTTCCAACATGATTTTTTTAAGTGCAGATCACTCCATGTTAGTACTGTAGCCAACTCTAGCCAAGTCCAGTGTCTCTCTTTGTTTCTAGGTAAAAATATGAACTTATCTATTTGGCTTTTAAAGTGGTTTACAAAATGGTCTCATTCTATCTCTCTAGCCTCATTAAACATTACTCCTCTTATTGTACTTCAGCCAATTTGGACTTTTTTTTTTGTACTTACACATAGCATTTCATCTGTCATCTCCATGCCTTTGCACTGGTTGTTCCTCATACCTGCAATGGGATTTATGAGGTGTTCAAGGAAGACTAGCCCCTCTGGTGTGAGGGATTGTCAAGCCCTTTTCAGAGCTGCTTGTTCACCTTTGGTGTCCACCTGATTCACCCAACCCTCACCAAGAAGCTGTAGCATGCACAGTGACCACACCTGGGTAAACTGTCTCAGCAGACAGACTAAACCAGGCTGAAGGTTACCAATGGGCCTCAAACCTGTTGGTGAATTAGAGGGATGCTTATCCCAAGCATGTAAAGACTTCTCCCAGTGGAAAGGGCTGATGAGAACAATTTGTTCCAAAGACCAAAGCAGCTGAAGAAGTTGCTGTGGAGTGCTTAGAGCTTAGTCAGGCATCAAAGACACCAAGGTCATCCACTGTATCCCAGGCCATTGCTAGTCATCTTGACTTTATCCCGCCACTGGACTTTGATGACTCAGGAAGATTGAGTGAGGCTGATGACTTTGTGCAACTTTGCCCCACTTAAATCCAATTCACATTCAAGTCAGAATATCATCCCTGACGTCATTGGTCCTCTTTAAAAATGAAGGACAAACAACAACAACAATGCATTCGTCCTTACCTCTACCTTACAGAATTCCTTCCTTCAAGCACCAACTTTTACACAAAACCTTTCTTGTCCCCCTTTCCCCAACTGTTAGTGTCCAGCTTCCCTAATGACATTGTATTTAATTACTTTGTATTTATTTTGTATTATATATATATGTTTATGTGTGTGTGTGTGTGTGTATATATATATGTATGTATGTATGTACATGTATATATGTATATATGAAAACTCCTGATCTTCTGGGCTCTGACCTTTGAGAGGAAGACACACTATTACAGCCTCTCTTCAGGTCACTGAAGGGAGAGAAAGACTTTGGGAAGATGCCACATGTAGAGGAGCTGGCCATTTCTATCAAGTCCTTATCCCTGGTGTGTTTCACTAAAGACTTTGAGGGGCTTCAAGATCTGAATCTCTCTGTTGGCTGAACTGAGTTATCTCACTCCCAAAGGGAAAGCTCATTCACTTTATGTAGTCCAGTATATTGTCTCCTATGTATACTTTCTCTGATTTCTGTTTGCTATCTATTTGCTATCTAAATGGATTAATTTGTTATTTGCTATGTGTATTTATTGTGGAACACGCATTTGGTGGGAAGAGAATCAAGATATACAACTTGGGTCTTCTTTCCCCACGTAAGGAATAACAATCAGGAATGTAACTTGAACCTAAAGATTATCTCCTCTAGGCTAATAATATTTAAGGGAACAGACAATTCCAGCTCAGTCCCTCCTCTCTTTGAGGAGAACAAAATGACCAGCTGCTGGCCCCAACCTCCTATTTTGTCTCCTGGAAGGAATCAAAGTCTCCTTTGGAGAGGAGTGTGAGGAAGACACTCTAGACTAGATATATCTGTTCTTGCCTCCCTAGAAGTCACATTTAGACAGACTCATATGAACACCCATAACCTACATGGGAAAAAATTCACAGCACACTATACATACACACCCCTTCATAATTATGTATGTATGTGTTGTCTCCCCCATTCCCCTAATCCATCTCCAGTAGAATATAAACTAGTTAAGAGGAAGGATTGTTTCATTTTTTTTTGTTTTTGTTTTTTTAATCCCCAGACCTATTGAAGTACCAAGCATTGATTCACTGATTTATTTCATTGATATAGTTTATTTTGATTCCACAGACTCTTCCCAACAAACACCCCCATTCCTGTGAAGTATATTCCCTCCAAATAGTTTATTAATCGTTAACAGAAAAAAGAGATCTGTCCTTTCATGTTAACAATATGGTAAGTATTGTATTTGACTTGAATTTTATTTCCTCTCAATATTTATGTTTTACATTGTTGTAGTCACTATGTATATTGTTCTTTTGATGCTACTTTCTTCAGTCTGCATTACTTTATACTAAACTGTTCCTCATTCCTGACACACATTCTTTCCTCACTTCTATCTCTTAGGACCCATGACTTTCTTAAAGGCTGTGCTCAAGTACTTCCTCCTATACAAGTACTATCCTGATAATCAATCAATAAACATTTATTAAGCACCTACTACTACTAGGCGCTGTACTAAGTGCTGGGGACACAAAAAAAAGGCAAAAGACAGTCCCTGACTTCAAGGAGCTCACCATTTAATGGGGGAGATAATAGTCAAATATTTACAAATATGCCATATACAGGATAAATAGGAAATAATTAACAGAGGTATGATGCTAAAATTAAGAGGGGTGGGAAAAGTTTCCTGTAGAAGATAAGATTTTATTTGGGACTTAAAGGAATTAAGACAAGCTGTAGGTAGAGATGAGAAAGGGAGATGAGACACAACCAGAGAAAATGGCCAGAGCTGAAAAATGGAGTGTTTTGTTTGGGAACCACAAGGAGATCAGTGTCACTAGACCAAAAAGTATGTAGCAAGAAATAAGGTATAAGAAAACTACAAAAGTAGGAGGGGGTCACACTATGAAGGGCTTTTTCCAAGCAGAGGATTTTGTATTTGAGTCAATAGGGAGCCATTGTAGTCTGCTGAGTAGGGGATGTGGAGTGATGATCAGACCCATATTTTGGGAAAATCACTTTAGTGGCCTAATGGGGAATGGATTGGAGTGGGGAAAGACTTGAGGCAGGCATGGAGGCTACTGCAATAGTATAGGCATGAGGTGAAGGCCTGCACCAGAATGGTGTGGTGATAACTCTTGGTAACAGTATCTTCTCCACCACAATTGGGAATATAACTTGGATATATTTTATATTTGCTGACATATGTGCATGTTATTTCACCTGGTAGAATGTGCTCCTTGAGGACAGGAATTGTTTCATTTTGCCTATATAATTCCAGTACCTAGAACAATACTTGGCACACAGTGTCAAATGAATAAAGTCATCTCCTGTTTCTCTGGATTACAGAATTATAGAATTTTAGAGTTGGAAGGGACCTCAGTGACTATCTAATCCAATTCACGTCCTCCAAACAAATCCCCATACTCCAAGGAGGGAGGAATTCTTCATATTTGTCACTCCTTCTGGTGTAGCAAAATTTCGTTATTTAAATACTGTGATTTATTCAGCCATTTTCCATTTGTTTTGTTCCCAGTTTTTCGTTAAAAATAATGCTGCTATAAACATTTTTTACACATAGGTTCTTGCTATCAATAACTTCTTTGACATATAGCCCCAATCCTAAAAGTTCCAAGTCAATTGCTATTAGCATATTTATATTACTTATATTAACATTCCTTATGTTTTGTTTCTCAAGTGATATTTCAAAGTACTGGGAAGTCTAAAATTCATTTAGAGATCACATAATCTGATGGGCATGCTAGGAGGCATAAGCCTTAACTGCTTACTGTCATCACTCATTTGGGAGGGTACAAAGGTTTTCTGGATTCCCAAGTCAACAGCAGGGGAGTCTGGTTGCCTTTTATTTATCAAATATATCAACATAGGGGATATGAATCCAAAGCTGAAATCCAGCCACCTAAACTTGACTGCCCAAATGCTGACTTTTCTGACTTACACCAGGAGGAAGTTGTCAACAGACTGCTCGTATAAACATATGAGCCAGCGCTGGAGAGCAGGAATGAGTCTTGATTCATTGTCTCGCCAAACAGGAATAACTTGAGACAGAGACAGAATGTTTTCCAAGTCTCATCATTTTCATTGCTCTTAGCACTACTATTACTCTCATTCCAAGTAAGACATAGAAGAGGAATGCAATTAGGTGAGTTCTGATAACTCTAAAATTAAGGGAAACACCCTTCCCTCAAAAATGGAAAAGGATAGCTGGCTTTCTTAGCTCTTCCTAACTTAAACATCTAGTTTATAATCCCATGGGTAGCTATTATTGGATAATTTGATGAGCACCAAATTTCAGTGATAGTATCATCATGTTTGCAAAACTTCCTTATTGCCTTTAGATGCCAGAGGCTTATGTTGCATAATGAAAGGAATCTTACCTATGGAGAGGCAAGATGAAGGTGGCTGAGTAAACAGTAATGAATAAATGTTCAGTAATATGCCAGGATGATAATAGAAGCAACTAATGACAGCCTTGTTTACAAGAGCAATAGTTATTGGAATTTTGAATCATTCCATGGAATAATGTCCAGGAAAGAATTTAAATTACCATTGGCCCATGAAAATAGCCACCCTAATAATTTATTGCTTTCTGGTATCCCTGCAACCCCTGGATTTAGAGATAAGAGTTTTTCAATTTCAAATTAACCTGTTACCTCTCATTTCTTGGATTACTTCCTGTTTAGTAGGCCGGACTCAGTAACTAATGATAGGGAAATTCTCACAGAATTAAGCCACAAGGATAAAGTTTCCAGAAATAGCACTGATTCCTTCTCACCCTAAATGCAACATAGCTTGTCTTGGTTACTCTATTGGCCAAATTAAATAATTAGCCTCTGGTACTAGTTTAATGGCTGTGTGGTGATAACTCTCCATAATTCCCAACTCTCCAAATTTGAAAGCCCAATAGACAAAAGTTATGTATAAGTTTGTATTCTTTGAAGTAATTTCAGTGGAAAGCAGAACTACTTGTGAATGTTCTTTATAGGAAAGAAGTCTTGGTTAATGAGCATTACTTTGGAGACTGAAGTCAAGGACAGATAACAAAGGACGAATTGAGCTTGTATAACATGTTGATTCTGGCCTCACTTTCTAAGGTCCTAGCCTATTATACTTTATCCCCCTCAGGGTTCTCTAGTACCCTTAAGGGGCTGGAGTCTCTTTACTTTGATATCAGCTCAATCCCCCACCAGCTATCTTCCCCTCATTCTTAGGAGTAACATTACTTCAAAAATATAGCAAGAATAAGAATACAAACATTTTCCCATAATACCTCCAGCATGTATTCCCCCTACACTACATTGGTGTCTGGGGAGGAAGATAGAGAAGATCAGGCTCATAGATTAGCTCAATTCTTACATAGCATTAGTCCCATCAAGTTCAAGTACAAAGCTGTGCCAACTTCTGCTGGAATGCAGTTCAGGACCCAAGCTCCTCAGGATGTTGTTGCTGGGATAGCTTATATTTCTAGACTCCTAGATCCACATGAATCACATTTCAAGGCCAGATCAGAGACTCTACTCCTTGCACCTAGAAAAGGAAAGAATGAACAAAAAGGCCAAAAACTCAGGGTTATTTCTCAAGGCCATGTAGTCAAAGTTGAGGAGGAGGGAAGAGGCAGTCCTTAGGCTCTTTTCCCTTACTTCATGCTGTGAGTGATAGTGTCACCTTCACACTCTTCCCCCCCCACCCCCTGACCTGAGTGCATCAAAAACTAAGGTAGGTATTGCCAAGCCATTTTAAAAATGCCAACACTTCAGGTTATGCAGCCAATGAAAAAAGCTATTCATAACCATATGGTAGGCCAGCAGAGATGTTCACAAATGTTCCAGTCCTCTTCTCGTCTGGAAGCAAATCTCTACCATCTTCCTTTTGAGTAAAGATATCTCAGCAAATTGATGGTGTCTGTACATGTGTCTGATTTCTCCTCCTGTAAAGATCATGTCAAGGATGATAAAACTCAAAATACTTTGAGCATGGCTAGGAAGATGAAGGATAACAAAAACAGTTGTTCCCTCTACCCCAACTATTAGGGGAAGAGAAGAGAATAAAAAATGGTTTGATCAAGGACCATTGCTTAGGGGTGGAAGAGATAGTGATCATTAGCAATAAGAGAAGGCAAAGCTGCTGAGTTATTTTCATACAATCATAAAGTTAGAGCTAGAAGAAACCTTAGGGGACAGCTAGTTCATCATTTAACTGATGAAGAAACTAAGGCCCAACGAGTCCAAGTTACTTGTCCAAGGCCAAATATCAGAGTGGGATTTGAACCTGGGTCCTCTCCAGAGCTAGGAGTCTTTCTACTGTACCCTATTTCTTCTCTGTTTTCTCTGCCAAAGTGAATGACCTTTGTGCTGGAAATGTTAGAACAAAAATGGCTAACAAGGAATTGTTATTGATGATAAATGCGATAGGAAGGATCACCTAACTCATTGATGAATTCAAGTCCTCTGGCCCAGATAAACTACATTCTTGAGTACTGAAAGAACTGGCAGATATGATTGCTTAGGTAGGTAAAATCTGAAAGATTGTGGAGAATGGAGAGATGACCTAAGATTAGAGAAGGATGAATGTTACTCTGATTTTCAAAAAAACGGAAGAAAATAAGATCTGCAAACTATAGGCCAGTGAGCTTAACAGCAATTCCTGGGAAAATTCTGGAATCGTTTATGAAAGAGATTAGTAGTGAATATGTAGAAAAGGAAGCTTCAGAATTAGGTTGTTGCAGACTATCCTGATTTCCTTTTTGATAGGGATACTAAATTAGTAGATTGGTGGAATGTTTTAGATATTGTTTACCTAGATCTTAGTCAAGCTCTTAACAAAGTATCTCATACCATTTTTGTGAAAAACAAGAAGATAGAAACTAAATGATAATACAAATAGATTGATTCAGAACTGCTTGTGTATCTGGGCTCAAAGAGTAACAGTTAATGGTTCAAGGTAAATTTGGCAGAAAGACTCCAGGGGTATGCCTCAGGGATCTGTGCCCAGCCTTCTCCAATTTAATATTTTTATAAATGACCTGAATAAAAGCATAGATGGCATGCTCATCAAATTTTCAGATGTCATAAAGCTGGGAGAGAGAACTGACATACTGGATGACAGAATTGGGATTCAGAAAGATTTTGACAGGCTATCCATCAATCAATCAACAAGCATTTAAGTATGTACTATGTGCTAGACACTGCTAGGCACTGGCGATACAAAGGCAAAAGTGAAACAGGAAACTCAAGGAGTTTATATTCTACTGAAGGAAGGCAATCTGTAGGTATATAAGTATATAAAAAGTAGGTGTAAAAGAAATACAAAGCAATTTGGGGAAGAAATCAGTAAAGTCTTCATATGGAAGATGTCTTGGAGCTGATTTTGAGAGAAACATGGGATTCTAAGATGCAGAGGTAAGGAAGAAGTACATTCCAGACATGAAGGAATATGGGGGAGAAAACAAGTACTGAGGCATGGAATCAGGAAATGAAGCTTTGTAAGGCCAGTGGGTCTAGATGTGCAGGAAGTAGGAAAGGGAGTAATTTATAAAAAAGATGAGAAGATAAGCTGAATCCAAGTTGTGAATGGTTTTAAGAATCAAACCGAGGAGTTAAAATCCTAATGCAATAGGGAGCCATTAGAATTTATTAAGTAAAGGAGTGATACCTAATGCAGGAATGACAGAGTTAGGATACAAATTATCTTGAGTCACTGGAGCAATGGGCTGGATCAAATAACATAAAATTCAATAGAGATAAATGCAAAATCTTACATGTTAGTACAAAAAAATCAACTTCACAAGTTCATAAATGGGATAGGCATGTCTGAAAAAGATCTGGGTTTTCTTTTGTTTTGTTTTTTTGAAGATTGAAAGCTCAATAAAGTCAACAGTGTAACAAGGCAACCAAAACAGCTAATGGTAATCTTGGGGTACATTAAGAAAGCCATTGCTTCCAGGAAGGAGATGATAGACCCACTGTACTATGTCCTTGTCAGACCACAGCTGAATCCAATAATGTTCAGTTCTGGGCACCTCAGGCTAAAGATATTGACAAACTGCAGTGTATCTACAGGAGGATAAAAAGGATGTTGAAGGGTATGGAGTCCATTTCATCTGAGAATCAGTTGTGAGGATATTTAACTTGGAAAGGATAAGATTCAGCGGGGACCCAGGAAGTCATCTTCAAGAACTGTTATGTGAAAGAAGAATTAGACCTTCTGTTTGGTCCCAGAGGTCAGAACCATTAGCAATGGGTTTAAGTTACAAAGGGGCTTGATGTAAGGAAAAACTTTCTATTATAACTAAGAGTTATAAAGAAATAAACAGATGCAGGAGAACAATTTATATAACAACACTATAAAAAAACCTAGAAAGCTATAAAAACTATGATCAATAAAATGACCATTCATGATTCCAAAAGACCAGAAATGAAATATGCTAGTCTCCTCTTGAAGGAGATGTGATGAATGCTAGGGTGAAGAATGAGACATTCATCTTTTGAACACAGCCAATGAGAGAATTTGTTTTGCTTGACTATGCATATTTATTGCAAGGAATTTGTTTTCTTTTCTTTCTTTCTAAAGGGGCAGTGGGTAGGAGACAGAGAAAATAGATTTCTGTTCATTAAAAAGAAAAAAAAGGTGGAACAGGCTCCCTTGAAAAGTGATGGTTTGTCCCTTATTGGACAAGTGGCTGGATGACCACTTGTCAAGTATGTAAAAGAGAAGCTTATTTTTCTGGTAGGGGTTGAATCTGATAATTGCAGAGGCTCCTTCCAACTTTAAAATTGTATGAGTCTGTGAAGTCTTCTTCCCTACTGCATTGTTAGTAATTTGGGGGTCACTTTGCAGAATGATTCACCCACCCATTGCTTTCTCTTTTGGCAACCCCTTGCCTGTGCCACATTTACTCAGAGTAACTCAGGGAAATTTTGTTTAGCTAACTGCAAAGAATTAGTGTAGGGCATCATGGGATACACATTGGGCACATATATATTTAACAGGACAGAGGGGGACAACAAATAACAAGAGGCCTTTTAGTTTTTAGTACCAAAAGATTTAAAATAACCAAACCAATCCTATTTGTTGTTAATTTGCTTAAGGAAGTATAGTCCCCTGTTGTGCCTGTTCATAAGCAGCTGCATGGTACATTCCAAATGGGGACTTGGAGTAACAAGTCCCATAATTAATTTCTAGATTCAATAGCTACAAATCACGCAGCTGGAAGTGTTAGTGTTGTGGTTTTTACCTGATCTTCTGAAGAGAATTGAAGCTTGGCAACTTGTAGACCAAAAGGGGAAATAAAAAACAAGAACTAAGAAGGTGGGGGCCAAAAAAGAGCACTAATTAAATCCAATAAAAAAATGTATCCACACCTAAATAGAGGGGGAAGAAATTCCTACTACATTTTTAGTTTTTTTGTAGATATCAAAAGACATGACAAATGATCTGATCAGAATGACTACTGAAACTCATAACTGAGTAATTTCTTCAATGTTGTCCTATGTGGGTGTTGCTTCCAGCATTTAAGCTTGCTATCCGTTATACTAAAATTTCCTGTCACTCTAAGCTTGCTTAACTGATAGGATTTTGTGTTCATTCTCTTGTTTTAAGTGCACTCCACATGCAAGCATAGACACAGGTCTGTCTCAATAATGTTCTGAGTTTACACTGACCTCTGGCTGAGGATCACACACCTGCTTATTTCATACAACACTGAAAGTGTTTCACATCTTTTCCCAGCTTAGCCTTTGTCTGTGAGTCTCTCCTATTTTAGGTTTGATGGCCATCCTTGGAATCTATTTGGTCCCATATCCAAGGTTCCCATAACTTCCTCTTTGTTAAATTAGTAACAAAGAAAACAACCAAACCACTGATTCATTTTCCTACCTCCCTGCTTACAGAAGACCTTTTCTGTTTCTCTAGATCCTACCCTTTCTTTGATGTTTCCTAAGAAGTATATATAGATACATTTATTTGTGAGCTTTGCCCTTGCTTGAACATATGAAAAGATGGAAAAATACTGGGTCTATGGTAATTACCTTACACATGGATTAAAGTGACAGATCTAACACTTTACATACACAGTCAGCCTTGTGGAAAGAAAAAAATGAAAATTCAATCCTGGCAGCAATTGTTTAATGTTATGCATTATTTTAATTCTTATTAGCTATCTCAGGATGAGACAAATCACACATTGTTAATGGCCATATGATTTACGTAATCCTATTAGTTCAGGAGTTTGAGACTGAGAGAGAAAACAGACTATGGGGGGAAAAATGGAGACATGAGAGAGTTTTGAAGTTTGGAGTAATTTTTGAATATACTTCAGAACATACCTGCTAGACTGCATTTAAACCCAAAGAGAAAGAGAGGAAGGCAACAAGCCTGTGGGGGGATGGTTTTGCAAGATCGAAACATTAATTAGCTCATTAAAGTGGGGGATGGGCAGGTGAGGAAAGTGAGTCAGGATTGGCCTCTACCTTCTGTGACTGCTTTTGGTGAAGCCCCTAAAGATGATTATCATGACATAACCCCTGCTGCTGGGAGAATAGAGAGCAAACTAGGTGTGGTCATTCAGCTATAGAGATGTAATCTCTATATCCTTAAGAACTGTTCCTTAAAAAAAATTGCAGTAAAGTGTGTTTTAGGCCCTCTAACTGTTGGACCTTCCAATCTGGTAATTTAAGCCTCCACCAAATTCTACTAGGATAACTTTTCAGGATTCAGTTTACATTCAAAGCAGTCTGGAGTATTGAATTTTGGGAGATAGAGATTTTCCCCTCTTCAGGAAAGGTCAAATTTTGAAAAACTAGTTATGATCTTCCCTTGCTTTGGGACTGGATACTTTTGTATTTTTAATGTTTTTCTTGTCACCCACTTGCTACCAGGGAGACTTCTTAAACCAACAGCTTTTTATTATGTTTTTAGGAAGTCATATTTGTATAAATTGGTTTTGAATGGCTTCTCCAAAGACTGAGCCTGCAGTCTGGTAATTTTATATGGACATAGCTATTGAGGTGTGGCATGAGGAAGTCCAGCTGTGAAAGAACACAAACTAAGGCAGACCCTTGGAATTTTAGGATTGTCTAATAATGTGCTGAAGAAATTATTTGTTTTATTTGTTTTTAAATTTAAAATTTTGCCATATGGATTTTGGTGTAAGCCATTGAGGGAGGCACTTGAAAGAACAATGCTAAATTAACCCTTGAAGCCCAGAGACATTTCTGGAATTGGGGATATGAAAAATATACCAATCGTGTCCCCATTAAATTAACTGAGTTCTGGCAAGGATGCTGCATTAGTTTGTAAAGTTTCCATTCTCACCACCACACTGTGAACTTCCTCTCAAAGAATCCTAGGATCATTTTCTCTCAATGCCAGCAGAAATGGCTAATACACACGGGAAATAGAGCACATGGCTTTGTTGCCTTTCATATCACTTTGTATCTTTCCACCATCATAGAAGGAGGCAGAGTCAGGTCCCAGCTCCTGCAAAACATAGGAAGACAGTGGTTATGCAGGCTCTCAGTAACCTTGTGCATAAGTGAAGCAAAGTACATCCTGCCATAATGTAGCAGAATCAGGCCCCAGCGAGGCAGGGCAATAGCTCTCAGCACTGCAGCAGCCCTCTGTCCCGGCATAGGGCAGGAGAGTTCAGGCCCTTGTAATGGCATTGACCTGCCTGGCACAGGTAGTAGCAGTTGACCTTGGCAGAGCAGTCAAAGGCACAGGTCCCAGAAGCAGTAAGCAGTAACTTATACCCCAGGAGCAGCAGACAGCAGCAGGAAGTGGGCAGAGATATAGGCATTAGTGCAGAAGGATAGCAGAGTGGCTCTCAGTGGCAGAAAAGTGGTCACTGGCATGTACAGTGGCAAAAGCCTGGTCCACTGTATCCTATTTGTTATTATAATGTAAAACTGATTTGCTCCTTCACATTGCTGCCAGTACAATACTCAGTGATCATTTCATAACTCCTTGACGGAGAGGGCTTGGAATACCAACATATGGCATCGTTAGGAAGGAGCTTTCTCTAGCAGCAAGGGAAGTGATCCTAGTCCTCACAGCAGTCCCTAGCCTTCTTTCATTAGTCAAAGATTTTGCATTCCTTACCTTTACACAGGGCTCCCAGGGAGGGGTAGGTCCTAGCTGGTCCACCAGGAAACACTAATGGATGTTGGTACAGGGCAATTCTTTCTCACTTGTGAAGAGGATCAATGATAAGTCAAGAAAAGTCATCATCTTTCCTGTAGCCTGGATATTCCTGCTTCTGCTTCTGTTCACCTTTTTACATTGAGAAGCCCACTATGAACTGAAAAGATTCAGCATCACTCACCAACCACATGGGTAGTGCTGTGTTCAAAGTTACTAATGATCTCTTAATTGCCAAATCCAATGGTTTTTTCTTCATCTTCAACCTTTTTGATCTCTTTGTAAAGTCTGTGACACTTTTTAATCTCCCATATCTCCTTAATCCTCTTTTCTCTCTAGGTTTTCATAACATTGCTATCTCCAGGTTCTCCTACCTATCTGATTGCGCTTTTTCAATCTCCTTTGCTATATCTTCATCCATATCATAACCTATCAGTCAAGCATCAGAGAGAGCACCTGGAAAGCCTGGTGGCTGTTTTATACTCACCATCCAGGAAAGTGATGTCTGTAGCCTGAATCTTTAGTCTAGTCCCCTGAGCCAACCAAAAGTTAGGATAGTTTCAATACTTTTTAAGGGAAAAAAAAAACTATTCCAGCTCGTGTGAGGGCAGGAATTAGGATACTGCTCTTATTCTGCTCTGCTGGTAAGGTCTTCTAGAAGCTCTTCTACTATTTAAATGACTTTAGGATTGTTGTCAGCCCTAACCTCTGATATTCAAAGATGCTGATACAGGCAAAATTAAAAAAAGAAACATAACAAAAACAAAACAAATGTATAACCAAATCATCAAAAAATATAAGAGCTCCAGAAGGAGTAAATGAATCATGGAGAGTCTTAGGAAGAACCAAATCCCAGATCTAAACAATCAAGTTCATGTAGTCAACCAACGAATATTTAAGCACTTATGTGGTAGGCAGTGTGCTAATGTCAGGGTATACAGAGAAAGGCAAAAGAAACCAGTCCCTACCTTCAAGAAGCCCACAATCTAATGGAACAGACAATATTCAAATAACTATATGCAAACAAGCCTTATAAAGGATAAATAGGAAATAATCAATAGAAGGAAGGCACTAGAATTGAGAGGGATTGGGAATGCTTCCTGTAGAAGGTGAGGTTAAATTTAGCTGGGTCTTGAAGGAAGGCCAGGAGGCAGAGATGAGGAAGGAGAATGTACTAGATATGGGAACAGCCAGTGAAAATGTATGAGGAATAGCAAGAAGGCTAGTGTCTCTGGATTGAAGAACACATGGAGGCATGTAAGGTATAAGAAGACTGGAAAGGTAGGATTAGGTTATGAAAGGGTTTAAAAACCAAGCAAAGAATTTTCTATCTGATCCTGGAGGTCACGGGCATCTCTGGAGTTTATTGAGCACAGGGGTGACATAGCCAGACATGCATGTTAGGAAGATCACTTTGACAGCTGAGTGGAAGATGGACTAGAGTAGGGAGAGTCTTGTGGCAGGGAGACCAACCGGCAGACTACTGCAATAGTTCAGGCATGAGGTAATGAGGGCTTACATGAATAGTAGCAGTATCAAAGGAAAGAAGGGCACGTATTCAAAAGATGTCACAAAAATGAAATTTGACAGGTGTTGACAACTGATTGGATATGAAATTTGAGAGAGAGGAGTCAAGAATTATGTGGATGACACCCAAGTTGTTAGCGTGGGAGACCTGAAGGATGGTGGTGTCCTCAACAATAATAGGGAAGTTTGAAAGTGGGGAGGATTGGAGAGGGATAGAAGATAATGAGTCTAGTTTTGTTGAGTTTAACAGGCTGTTGGAAGTGTGAGAATGGTCAACAGAAAGGTTAGAATTGGATAAGTTGATTTCAGAATCATCAAAATAGAGATCATAATTGAATCCATGGGAGCTGAAAAAGAGAAGAGAAAAGGGCCCTGAAAAGAACCCTGGGGGACACCTACTGTGGTTAAATCAGGCAAAGGGAACTTCACTCAGCAGAATCCTTGGTTTAATGTCCTTCTGCTATGGTTAAATAAACCTCATTCTGTTAACTGTTATATGGCCTATGAGTATCTCATTTTGTTCCAATATTGAACTTCAATTATTAGAGGAGTAGCCTGAGTCAGGCTTAGCCCAAAACAACCTCTTAGCATTGCTTTATAAATGGCACTACTGGCTTAGATTCTTAAAATCTAGCCAATAGCTCACAGATCTCAGACTCCTTAAGAGACTGCCCAATATGAAGGATGTTCTAATAAACCTTGTCTTTGGCTGAAAGAAAGCTTGGGTCAAATTCTTTTGGGCAGGATCCATGTGTTGTGATATTGGGGTCCCAGCACCCCTATACCCCTAAACCTCAACATTTTGGTGGCCTGTATGGGGAAACTGCCTAACCCCAAGTTCTTCTCTAGCCAAGACTGAAAGGTACGTAAGGCTCCCCTCCCCACCTCCTTTCTTGCTCTGCATTGGGGTCGCTCTCCAAGCACCAAGGCTTGGAGGTGCTTTTCAGGGCAGACAGTTACGAGGCTGTCTAGCACTTGGCCTGATGTTCCCAGGCTTTTGGTCCACTGGGTCAGTTCAAGGCCATGGACCTGGGTACACCTTCCACAGCATAGAGGACAAAGATGGACACCCATCCAGAAGTGTATGCCCAATTCTGTCAGAACTGGGGAAAACTGCAGTTGCTTTTTGGTTCCCTGAGGCTTAGTTACTCCCTTCCCTCTACACCCCTGAATCGTCCTTCATGGAGGTTACAGGGAAAAGTTAGAACAGCTAAAAATATCTTGGCAGATTCTGGAGGTTTTGTGACTGATCATTAAGGAGTTTTGAAACTCCTCCTTACAACTCTGGTCACTCTTTTCTCCCTCTCCCTTCCCTTGGGTCAAGAGCATATCTGTTAACCCCTCTCATAGGAGAAGAGAGTTAAACCCTTTACCTCTCACCTTTGATTTTACCCTCCCCTGCCTGGGAAAGGAAGGAGGAAAGAGGGGCAGCAGCTACAGTGTGGGCCCCTCTGGCAATGGCCTTGGGCCTTAGGGTAACCTTTGCCTGGAAGCATCACCCAGGTTCAGCACATCCTGCTCAAGGTAATGAAGCTAGCCTCCAAACTTGGATTTGTGTCTTCCAGACTACAGGTCATTCACCTACAGTTGATAGCAAACAGTGGGTACCGGCCAGTGACCCTCCATCATTCCCTGGATGTAGCCTGTGCTCAGTTCCAGTCAACTTCCTCTTTGGGACCCCCTCGAGGCAGGGACAGGTCTACGCCTCTTGCCAGCAGGAAGCGGTTTCAGAAGCTGAGGTCTTCACCCCTTACACCAAAAGAATTTGGGTCCCATTTGTTTAAGGGGGGAATGATGGGGTTGGGATCTGGACCCCAGAAAGGAAAAGCCCTGGACTTTCCCACCTGGGCAAATCTCTGGCATTTGCCTGAGGCTATAATCCCATCAACTGGCCTTTCATTGTGACTACACTCAATCTCCCCTCCCTTGTCTTGCCTCCCAATGGCCCCAGGCCACTTCCCACCCTTGGTAATTCTATTACCTCATAGACTACTTGGCCACTCCTAGATCCCTCCCACAGTCTTTCCATATACAAGGTCCATCTTGTCTCCATTAAGATGCTCAGATTCTTATAATCTAGCTTACTAATGTTCAGACTCCTTAAGAGTTTGCCCAATATGACGGATGTTCTAATAAACCTTGTCTTTGGCTGAAATAAGGCTTGGGTCAAATTCATTCGGGCAGGACTTGTGTGTTATGATATTGGGGTCTCAGCACCCCTGAATCCCTAAACCACATCAATATGATTGGTATAACATTAAATATATAAATTAACTTTGGTAGTATCTTCAGCTTCATTATATTTTGGCACAGCCTCTCAATGAGTATTGAATATTCCTCCACTATTTAAGTTGTTCTTTATTTCTTTAAGGAGCATTTTGTAATTGAACCTATAAAAATATCAAGTATTCTTTGGCAAATAGATTCCCAAATAGTTTATGCATTTGTGGTTATTTTCAATGAGACTTCTTTTTCTATTATTGCCTCTTGGATTTTTTTATTTCTTATTATAGAAATTCTATTGATTTTTGTGAGTTTATTTTATATCTTGCAACTTTGCTGAAGTTATTGTCTCAATTAGTTTATTTGCTGATTGCCTATGATTTTCTAAGTAAACAATCATGTCATCAGCAACTAGGGATAGTTTTATCTCCTTTTCGCCTACATTTATTCCTTAAATTTCTTTCTCTATTTTATCACTATAGCTCACATTTCTAGAATTCAATCAAATAAAAGCAGGGAAAGGGGGTATCTTCGCTTTACTCCTGTATTTATTGAGAATGCTTCTAATGTATCTCTCTGATGCTTGCTTTTGGTTTTAGGTAGATACTATTTGTGATGTTAAAATTTAAAAAAAAAAATCTCTCTATGCCTTTATTTGTGTGATTTTTAAAAAACAAAATGAATATTGTATTTTGTCAAAGGCGAACTGCATCCATGGAGATAATCACGTAGCTTTGGATATTTTTGTTTGTTTTTAGTAGTATTTATTACATTGATTGTCTTCCTAATGTTGAACTATCCTTTCATTCACAGTATAAATGAAACTCAGTCATAATGGATAACATTTTTTGGAAGAGAGAGAACAAATTGCTGTAGTATTTTGCTAGAATTTTATTTAAATTTTTCTTGTTGATGTTCATTAGTGATATTGCATATGGTTCTTTTTCTTAGCCTTGTCTTTCCCTGTTTTAGGTATTAGGACTATGATTGTCTCTAAAAAAGAGTTCACTAGAAACCCCTCAAAGCTGAAATAAAGCCTTTCTCCCTGGTAGTTCTCTTAGCTGGAGATAGTCTGGATTGTTAGAAATGGGTTTCATTTAGCAATTTATTTACTAACAAGCCAACTCAATTAAGAAAAAAAGAAATCATGAATAACATAATATAACGGCAGGTAGTTATATAGCACTTTAAGGTTTCCAAAGCACTTTACATATATTATCTCATTCAGTCCTCCCAGCAACTCTGTGAGGTAGGTTGTTGTTCATCCTTCATTCTGCAGGAGGACTCATGACATCAGGAGAGGGATGTCTTGACATACTCATGAATTGGATTTAATTGAATCAGAGCTGGGCAAAGCCATCAGCCTCATTCTCTCCTCCGGAGTCATCAGGGTTCAGTGGCAAGACAAAAGTCAAGAACTACAAATGAGTAAACTGAAGCTCAGAGGAACTTGCCTAGGGACACAAAGCCAATGTCTGAGGCAAGAGTCAAGCCCAGGTCTTTCCTGATTTCTGTGTCATAATTTATGTTCTGGTTTCTTTTGAGTGTCATCTGCCTAGCATGGGTCAATCAATTAATTCTTTCTGCACTAAATTCTATTTAGTAGGTATGATGTATATGTAAAAAGGGTATTCTTAATGTTTTAAAGAGAACCACTATGCCTCATCCCTTCTCCCATGAAAAGCATGCTTAAGACTTCATCTTGTGAAGACAAGGGTCTTGAATCTTCTAGGCAAACTACTTCCGCCCCCACCTGCTTCCAACCCCACCTCTCTCAGTTATGTAGGATAATGTGTGTACTTTGACTGTTTTATTTAGAAGAGGGAAAAAACATGTTAGGGAAATGAGAGGACATTGTTTAGAGGAAAAAAAATAGCCTGTGAAATTCCAGGATAGAGTATGTTGTTCTAAGCAAAATATTCCTTCACATAATTAAAAAAAATTACTGACTTTTTAGCACCATTTGTGCATGTCCTCAGATGTGCAAATAACATTTGAGAACAATAATAGGAAATCCAACCTTGTTTGGTCATGTAGAGTTCAGCTGTAATTTGTGTGGGCTTTTAAAATATGAAATGAGTAAAAATGTTAAACTCTCATTTGAAATCAATTCTCTTTACTTCAACTGAGGTCTTTGAAAATGAACTAGATAAAGTGTATTTTAAACCTTAATGTTCTTGATTTAGTTCTGCCAAGTACTCTTAGAAATTTGGAAAATATTCGCATGTCCTCCTGCAGCGCTGATTTTGTCTTTTTCCATTAAGGAAACTGATTTATTTCCTGTGTTTTGAACAGAATAGAACATAGTGCTTGGCTTTAAACAACAACTTATAGAGCTATTTGTACTGAAAACATCCTTCTCTTTGCATGGGAGCTGACATCAGCAGGGTTGCTATAGCAAGCAATTATGTGGGATTATTCCTGCTGATTGATTATTCCTGCTACAAACTCAGGGGAAAGGTAAAAGACGTGTTAAAGAGTTTTCCTGTGTTAAAAGTGACTTAGCCAATGCACCAAGTTCTTAGGACCCTGAGCAATGTGCTCTGCTGTTGCAATCTCATCTGTACTTGGGCTCTCTCAGACATTCTGTAACTGGTTTTGTTCTTCTAGCCATATGGTGAAGAGGTGGATTTTTGATTAGTTGTGTAGCAAGAACCAGGGTACATTCAAAAGGCATTAGTCAGACCTACATATACAATATTTATAGTAGTTCTTTTTGTGGTAGCAAAGAATTGGAAATTGAGGGGATGCCCATCAATTGGGGAATCGCTGAACAAGTTGTGGTATATGAATGTAATGGAATTCTACTGTGCTTTAAGAAATGATGAGCAGGCAGATTTCAGAAAAACCTAGAAAGACTTACATGAACTGTTTCTGAGTGAAGTGAGAAGAATCAGGAGAACATTGTACACAATAACAGTAATACTGCGCAATGATCAACTATGTTTGATTTAGCTTTTCTCAGCAATACAATGATCCAAGATAATTTCAAAAGACTCATGATGGAAAATGCTTATCCACATCCAGAAAAAGAATTGATGGGGTCTGAATACAAATCGAAGCATACGATTTTCATTTTCTTTGGGTTTTTTTCATGTTTTTTCCCCTTTTGCTCTGTTTCTTTCGCATGACTAATGTGGAAATATGTTTTACATGATTGCACATGTATAACCCATATCAGATTGCTTGCTGTCTTAGGTGGGGGGGAGGGGAGGAAGGGAGGGAGAAAAATCTGAAACTCAAAATCTTCCAAAAAATGAATGTTGAAAATTGTCTTTACATGTAATTAGAAAAATAAAATCTATTAAATTTTAAAAAAAGAAAAAAAATGATAGGAGGTGGTAGACAGAATAAATGTCATTCATCATTCTATAAAAAACAAACAAACAGAAAAGCACTAGTCAGCCAGAACTCTTTCCTATCTGGCTGCATTCCTATGAGAGATACTGATGGAAGTAAAGAGACCTCAGGCCCTTATCGTACAAGGCCAACATGTAGCTTATGAATATAGGTTTCTGTTCTTTGTGGCTTTGTTTTTATTCTTTCCTCTTTTAGGAGAAGATGATTAGAGATGGCTATGATCTCATGAGTTTCAAAAGGTCAACAGAGTAAGCCACCAGGGTCAAGGAACCAGAGTTTACTAGAAGCCAGATAGTGATAAGGGAAGCCCTGAGTGACCTGCCCTGGCCCAATACAGGAGTAGTAGGGATGCAGATTCATCCATCCATTGACCATGCCATATTTGGAAGTGAGCTTGGTAGGATGAAGACTATGTAATCTGAGTGAGCCTACAATCTCCAGGAACAGAGGTGGTATAGGGGATAATATATCTCCCCCTCAAAAAAGGAGAAAATATATTATTCCCCCAAGTGTTGGGAGAAAAATGTTAGTACTCCTTTCATTGTTATATCTTTGCAATAAATATTCCTTTGTAGAAGCTAATGGATGTTTACTGGTTAAATGGAACTGCATTGATGTTTGAAAGTAGGTAGAACACGGGTGATCAAGCTGATCAAAGCTACACCTAATCCCTTAAAATCCTGAGGGAGGAGATACAGCTGGCCTAGCTCAGGAGAGTGAATCTAGAGCACTCATACCTATAAACCTCAATAAAGTGTGAAAAAGTCTCAATTAACTTGATGGGATTATAGAGCATCAGCAATTTGATAAAAGTAACTAACAATACATAGGGAACTCTTAGTGATTGGTTGGCTGAAGGATCTGTCATGCTCCTGGTGACCTTTATAAAGCAAGTCAATCAGCTCTGAGTAGTAAACTCTGACAGTGGGAAAAAGAGCCAGCTATGGAGGAAGAAATCAGTTCTTGCATCTTCTTCTTAAGTCCAGAAAAGGGAAGAGGGATTTATTTTTCCTTTCTCACCCCTGCTCCCACCAACTTTGATATCATGCAGCAAAAGCACGGAGCCACGGGAGACTTGTATTTGCATGCAGCCTAAAAGGAGGAATTCAAGGACATTGATTCCTAAACCACAACATTTTCTGTCGAGTATAGAGGATTCTGAATTTGACAGTTCTAGATAGTTTAGCTGCAGCAGGACCCTAGTCAGCCAGGATTTCAGCAAAGCCAAAAGCTCGAGGCATGGTGACTAAACCAAGCAGCGAGAAAGTATCCATAGGAGACTGGGAGACCAAGGTAGGAAGGAATAACATGAGAACACGAGTGGCCTTGAAACATCAGATGTGTGAGTTCCCTTTCCTCATATGTACTATGGCCATATGTTTCCCACATGTGTGCCTTTCTCCTTGTGAATTATATGGGCATCTACTCTTCCTGCTGACACTATGTATATTTGTGGGAAAGCAAGAACAAGGTTTATGAAAGAAATGTCATATTGTTACTGTCTTTGGCATGTATTTCAGGAAATGCCTTTGCCTTGAGCTATTTGTGTCCTCTGGCTGACTAGAGTAAAAGTAAATGCAACAATTATAGCTATGTAACTCATTATCTCTACAGTTTCAAGAGTATAGGCCCACACAATTCCATGGAAGTGGAGTAGTTGTCCCCTGGGGGACCTAACTTGGGAGTTGGGGAAGGGTAGCCCAGAAGGACCATTACATATGCCAGTGACTAAAACAAGCAATCAAATTAAAGCAATCGATGGAACTCCTTGCCAACACATTTGGCTAACCCACCCTTTAAAGCAAGCCAAAAGGATAAGTAAATAAATCAGAAAGCTACATGATAAACCCCCTAACTTCTCCTTTACTTGTCATTTTGTAACCTGAATATCCTAGACAGCTTCTGTATCTGGTGTATGAAGACAGATAAGAAGTATATGAAAGGAGATAACATCCTGATGAGGATTAATCACAAACGAGAAGAATAACAACAACAAAAAAAAGAGTTAATATTTTCCAGTTAAGGATTTTCCATAGTTAAGGATTAAAAAAAGGTATGTGCCTTAGGTTTGTTACTGCCTCTAGAAACTGCTTATATTATTCCCTCCAACACTTACATTTTTTACCTGATATTTTTATTAGCACTTGAAAAAACTGCTTTAAGAATGTCTAAATTAATAAATCATTTATCACAAAAGTCAGTATAAATAAAGCTTGCTTAGTAAGCGTGCCATACTACTCACCCAGGGTCCCGCAGTTAGTAAGTGTTATGTGTCTGAAGCTGTTTTTGAACTCAGGTACTCCTGACTCCGGGGGCCAGTGCTCTATCCATTGTTTTTTCCGGTTTATCAACGGATCCATCTGCTAAGAGATGCATATATAACTAGATATCAGCAGCTACTAATCTGCTAATGGGGAAACCCTAGGGAATAGGGGTCCTGGCACATCTTTACAATGCGATGAGCTCCAGGGTAAATGGCTGACTTGTGAAAGAGAGCCTTTAAAGATGAAGCAAAGAAAATCTAACATTCTGTCATTCTGAGTGTGTTGGGGCCCTCCAAATACATGCTTTTGGTTTTTCTTCACTTTCCTTTTAAATAGAGACTAAAATTCAGCTAGTCTGCTTTCAATAGGTCTTGTAGTATTAAAAAGAATAGAGGCTTATGTTTTGTTTGTTTTTTTTTGTGGAGTGAGTAAGAAGATTTCCTGTCTTATTAAATACATGAAGTTCTGAACAATAACTTATTTGTTTGGATCGAAACTATAGTTGACTGAAAGCCCAAAGGGAAATGAGCTCTTGGTTGCCTGAGTGCAGGGACAGGAAATCATAGAGTTTTGTAGCATTGAAAAGTTTTTTCTTTCTAACAGGGTTATAGTCATGGGATTGTGGATCACAGATTTAAAGCTGAAAGGGACCATCAGGATTCCCGGTTGGGGAATGTGGTCTCCAAAACTCAAAGAATCCAATAAATCTCTAGGATTCTTTCTTAGATCATGAGGGAGCAAGTGACTGTACCTTCTTCAAGACAGTGTCTGAAATCATTTTGGTTTTTCTCGCCCACTGTACTCCCTCAAATTTAACTAAGCAGGCAATATCCTGGATATTCTTAGAGATGACTTCCTAACCCCTTAGGGTTAGGGTGGTGAAGTGGATAGAGTGCTAACCTTGGAGTCAGGAAAACTTATCTTCCTGAGTTCAAATCTGGCCTCAGAAACTAACTGTGTGACCCTCAGCAAGTCACTCAATCCTTTTTGCCTCAGTAAAATAAGCTGGAGAAGGAAATGGTGAACCACTTCAGTATCTTTGCCAAGAAAACCTCAAATGGGATCATGAAGAATCAGACACGACTGAAAAACAACTGAACAACAACAACAAATCCATCTGATCTAATGCCTCTGCTACTGTGGCCTCATCTGTTTTGGTTAAAATGATGTCATCCAATGTAGTGGTGTATATTGATGCCCTCAGGAAGGGAGGCCTCTTTCAGATTTCAGCCAACTACAATGTGTCGATAGGAGGGAAAGTTCAGGTAGCCCTGGGGAAGAGCAGTGAAAGTATACTGGACTTCTCAGTCAAAAACAAACTGCTCTTGACTAGTGTCAGACACAGTAATAGAGATAGGAGGAAAACCCTGCAATATCAATATCACCATATCACCCATTGGGGCCATAGGTTTCCTGGTCTACAACACTGAAAATGTCAGAACAATTGTAGTGATGGTCATGATGGCTTTATTTAGCTTTTTGTAGTTCATCCTCAGCATGTAGGTGTCATCTGCATTGCTTGGGATAGTACAAGGTTGTGGTAAGAGGAGCTGGTATAATGAAGTTCTCCAGCTTACTTTATCTGCATCATTAGAGAAAAAATGTCTTTCACTCCCCTTGGGACCTAATATTGATTGGTGTTAATTAGAAAGGATAATTTGGGCAACTTTAAGGACTTCTGTTTGGCTCTACCCACAAGAACTGGCATGGAGGCTGTTGAAAGGGCCCACATAGATTCTGACTTCTAAGAGCCCATGATACCGCTTCCCTCCATTGTCTGCTCTCTATAAACTCCCTTGAATGGGACAGGGATTTTAGAGGATATTTTAGGCTTGAATAGAGAAGGGTCCTTACTGTCTTAGTGCTGAATTTCCTTGAATAGTTTTATTGGCACCTCCATATACTGGCCAACAACTGCTATCTTATTGATCCCGTATTTCAGGAGCTATCCCTAAACTTGGCCCAAGAGTCACAGGTCTCTGCCCACTTAGCAGGGTGATGGACTTTGTGATTCCTTCCCCCATTCCTAAAGCACCTGTTTGTACTGACAGCACCATTTGCCCAAGCCACAACTATCCTGACCTCATGCTCAAATTTCACCAGTTGATCAGTCCACGCCTGTATAGCTGTGTGGCAAGGGAGACCTAATAGCTGAAGTCTAAAGGCATTCTGGTGATGCTCCATTGAGAAGGCAGGATCAAATTTTTCCTAAGCCTGGTTCCTATTTCTTCTAGAAAATACACACCTTCTCTTGCTGATCCCTATAAGGGAGCCAGTTCCTTAATTCCACAACAGGAATTCATCTTTATGAGACCAAGTATAAACAGCTCCTCATCTCAGCACCTAAAAAGAAGCAAAGGACTTCCCTATCTGGAGAAATTGACTTAGTGGACTCTGTAACAATAAGTCCTCTGAGAACTCCCAAAGCCAATAAAACTTAGGGGCAGTATTGGCTCCATTAGATCACATCCTCAGGAACTATTACTGCAATGATTCATCAGGTTTCTGTTTGAACTTCTTGTGTAACCTTGGTGATGAAGGACTGTTCACCCCACTGCTCCATTAAGGGGGGAAATCACTCTCCTTCTAGGGGTAGTAATAAGGTAAGTCTGGGGCTTTTTTAAAAAAATCATCAATGGGAGTTTCCAAGTTTCTTCCTCATTTCTGCTTTCATTCTCCTGTCTGGCTCAGATCTCAAAGATAGCAAAACTTCTAGATCAGAAACCATATAGTGGATTCTAGGCTGTGACCTGTTGATTCCAACTCTCATCAGGAGAAATAGCTTCCTTTGTGCTGTCATAATCCTTGAAGGCCCCTTGGTCTTCATTGATGGAAACAGATAGCTCTGTTTCTAGTTTCTAAATGTACCGGACAAGTGTACTTTCAGTTTTATTATTCTGGACACCTACCTTCTGAAGGATGGTCAACAACAACCAGGGAATGCTGGACTTCACACTTTCTTTACCCTCCTTGGCAACCTTCCCTATCATCTACTTGAGCTAATTACTCCATGTAAGCCAGAGCCTGCTCTCTGAAGGGTTCTTACTACTGGTTGCCATGGTACATTTTACCATTTGATCACACCATTCTCCCTACTTCTAAGTGCCCTTCCTCCAACTCAAGCATGATTGTAGCCACAATGCCACCTCATCTCATCCTAATTACTGATGTTAAAAATTTTACTTAGTCCTTACATAACAAAGATATGCAACAAAGATACTGTGGCACTTATCTTTGGTGGATGTGTACCTTTCCCATTCCCATCTCCATATAGGTATTTATCTGGTCAGAAGGACAGGGTGTGGTGACTTATGTGGTCTTCAGACATCCATTAAGTTGGAAAGGTACCACCCTTTTATGTCCTGAGGTGATCATGAAGCCACACCAACAGAGTCAGTGGCTATCAGGAAGCTGTGAGTCAAATTTAAGCCCTAGGGGGCAGAGCCAAGATGGTGGAGTAAATAAAAGCAGTGACTTGCTTGAGCTGTCCCCCAAATCCCTCCAAACATCTGTTAAAAATGACTTTAAACAAATTCTAGAGCAGCAGAACCCACAAAAAGACAGAGTGAAACAAATTTCCAGCTCAAGACAACCTGGATGGTTGATAGGAAAGGTCTGTTGTGCTGGGCTGGGAGAGGAACACAGTTCAACTTGGGCTTCACAGGCAAAGATAGGGCCCAATTGAAACTGGAGCAGGCCTCAGGGGATCGAATCACTGTCAGCTGTGGTGGTTTTCAGACTTCTTATCCCATAAACACCAAAGACAACTTAGAAGGTCAGTAGAAAAGTTCTGTTGGATCTGGGTGAGAGAGGAGTGCAGTCCAGCCCCAGTTCTTGGGTGGCAGCTGCTTCTGGAGCTCTCAGCCCACAGATGGTGGTGGGATCAAGTGGCTGATCAGAGGAGGATTGCAGGGATCTCTTTGCTGGAGCTGAGGCAGGATTCTCTTGCTTTGCCCATGCTTGGATCTGGGTTGCAGTCCTGGGTGGTGGTCCTAGGGCAAGGAGGAGTACTGGTGTGGTGGAGCTTGTGGCAGTGGTGGAGAGGGAATCCTCCTCACAGTTTCAAGGCAGAAAAGAGTGCTTGTGGTCACTCATAGACCAGAGCACAGGCCAGGAAAGGAGTAAACATCTCTACTTTGATCACACCATTTTGGAAGAACTGAAAAGTAACAGGTCCCTAGAAGTATCTCTGAAAACAGCTGCACAAAACCCCTGAAGCTTGGGACAGTACACCCTCCACACTGGAAGCAGACTCCTACCTTAACAAAAAGTTAAAAAGTCAGGTAATTGGCTGGGAACATGAGCAAACAGTGGGGAAAAAACTCAGACTATAGAATCTTACTTTGGTGACGAAGAAGATCAAAACATACAACCAGAAGAAGACAACAAAGTCAAAGCTTCCAAGAAAAATAGGAGTTGGTATTAGGCCATAGAAGAGCTCAAAAAGGATTTTGAAAATTGAGTAAGAGAAGTAGAGGAAAAATTGGGAAGAGAATTGAGAGTGATGCAAAAAACAAAACAAAACAAAAAAAAACCAAAACAAAAAACCATGAAAAATGAATCAATAGCTTGCTACAGGAGACCCAAAAAATACTGAAGAAAATAACACCTTAAAAAATAGACTAACCCAAATGGCAAAAGAGATCCAAAAAGTCAATGAGGAGAAGAGTGCCTTAAAAAGCAGAACTGGACAAATGCGAAAGGAGGTCCAAAAGCTCACTGAAGAAAATAATTACTTAAAAATTAGAATGGAGCAAATGGAAGCTAATGACTCTTTGAGAAATCAAGAAATAATAAAACCAAGAGAATGAAAAAAAAAATAGAAGTCAATGTGAAATATCTCATTGGAAAAACAACTGACCCAGAAAATAGATCCAGGATAGATAATTTTTAAATTATTGGATAAAGCCATGATCAAAAAAAGAGCCTAGACATCATTTTTCAAGAAGTTATCAAGGAAAACTACCCTAATATTATAGAACCAGAGGGTAAAATAGAAATAGAAAGAATCCACCAATCACATCCTGAAAGAAATCCCAAAAGGAAAACTCCTAGGAATATTATAGCCAAATTCCAGAGGTCACAGGTCAAGGAGAAAATATTGCAAGCAGCCAGAAAGAAACAATTTAAGTATTGTGGAAACACAATCAAGATAACACAAGATTTAGCAGCTTCTTATCAAGAGACAGGAGGGCTTGGAATATGATATTCTGGAGGTCAAAGGAACAAGGATTACAACAAAGAATCACCTACCCAGCAAGACTGAGTAGAATCAGGGGAAAAAATGAATATTCAATAAAATAGAGGAGT